CCCCCCCCCCCCCCACCGAGGTTGGGCTTGTGAGCTGCTTCTCTGAACCCGTGACTGAGGCCAAGCCCGAGGCCATCGTCCAGCTCTCGCCTCCCTGCAGTGGCTCTCCTCTGACGGGCAGCAGCAGGACCCGTGGAGGGAGCTGGTCACTTTGGGGAGGGAGCCCCAATCCCACAGGGGAGGGGTCCTTAATGATTAATCCACTTCCCCCTGAAGCGATTTGCTCCCCAAATTAGGGAGCGGCTCCCTTTGTGCGCTAAGGGCCCTGCCATTATCTGCAGCTCAAAAGACTGCTTGACCAGCCTGCAGGGAGCCACCTGGGGGCAGAAGCTCCCTGGGCCTCTGCTGACCCCTTGCCCTGGGAGGGAAGAAAAGCTGAGGGGTAAAGGCAGGGTCACGGGATTCCTGGGGGTGGGAGGAGCAGCCAAGGAACCCAGGACGCAAATGTCTAGTGCTGCCTGGGGGTAGCGATGGTGAGTGTCCAGAGGTTTAAATTATTCCAGAAATACCTATCCTGGCCCCTCTATCCTTCCCTCAGGTGGCTGTTGTTCTCACCAGAGCCCTGTTCCCCGGCTAAACACTGGACTTCACAGACACCTGGGGTCTCCCTGTAGACTTTGTTCTTTATGCTTGGGGGCTCCTGCTGGCCCAGAGGAAGGTAAGGGGAGGCTCTGGCAGCTCTCTGTCAGGGCAGGAAGAAGGCTCTGGGCCGGGAGCAGCCATTTCCCTCGGGCTTCTCAACAGTGCTGGTTCTGATGGAGTCCGCCGAACCTCCTGTCTTTCTGTTCATTTCAATTCCATAAACATTAAGGACGCCTCTGCATTCCCTCTCTGCCGGCGGCAGGATCTCATCCCGGTGGGCCTGGCCGAGGGCACTGTGTGCCAGGCACCAAGGCCAACCTCCACCTGCAGGGCTAACCTGGCTCAGCTCTGGCCTCCTGGATGTTCGGTGACAGCTCACTGAATCCATGAATGAACGGGAGAGTGGGGCCGCCCTCCAGAGAACAGTGTCAGGCCTTTTCTCACAACCTCTCCTTGTCGAGGCAGAGATGGCCTCCTCCCAGGTGTCCTGGCAGAGCTGGGCTGGCCCAGTGGGCAGCACTATGAGGCCGCAGGGGTGAGGAGCCAGCCAGCCACACCACATGGCTTTCCTGGAACGGGCTGTCTGAGCCCTGCCAAGCTGCCTGGAGCACTGGGGCTCTGGTGTGTGACAGGCACAAGGTAAAGAATTGCATCTTGAGGGCAGACCGGAGAAAGAAGGGCAGGAGGGGGAAAGGAGAGGAAAAAGGGAGGGGCCTCAAGGGGGGACAATGAGGTCCAAGTGCCCAGACGTTCAGGCCTTTATCATAGGGCTCAGGGCTGCCAAGAGGCCCCAGGAAAAGGCTGACCTCAGTCTTGACTGCCACCAGAGTCGCACAACCCGAGGTGTGATTTCAATCCTTCCTTGTCCGGAAAAGCAGGCGGGCAGCCAGCCCTGGAGGGAGGAGAGGAGCTAAGCAGTAAGCAGGCATCCGCCCCCCTCCCCTTGAAATGGATTCGTCGCTGGCACTCAATGCAAAAAATTGACTATCTTCTGATAGCAGATGGTGGAAGTTTAGTTTTAGCCGTTTCCAGGGAATCCTGCTCGGCTAAGGCTTTCTGGTCCACTGGGCGGTTTTCTCCTTTCCTCCCCGGCACCTCTAAGTTCTGTGGTCCTTTGGAGTATCCAGCGACACGGTCCCTGGTCATTGCAGCTCCCTGCTGGTTGATGAAGAGATGCCCTTCTTTTGCCCTTGTGTGTGTCTCTTTGGGACTTGGGAAACTTTTGGACAGTGTCTTTCCCCATACGGGGGCTGCAGGGGACTCAGGACACTGCCTCAGACAGGCCATTCCTCCATGATCGTGGTAAAAATCAAAATATTCATTGAGTATTTACTATGTGCAGCCCTGTTCTGTTTGCCATGAACTAACTGATTTTATCCTTTCAAGACACCACGAACAGGTGAGGAATGGAGGCACAAGAGGGGAGGACTTGCCATGTCA